GGCCCAGCCCCAGTCTTTGCGATCATTTGGGGGAGTGACCCAGCAGATGGAAGATCTCTCTCTCTCTCTATCTCTGTCTATCTAAGTCTGCCTTTCATGTAAATAAAATGAATCATAAAAAAAAAAAAAAGATTGCAGGGGCTGGCGTGGAGGTGTGTGGGTGTGTGAGTGCTGGTTGGAGTCCTGACTGCTCTGTTTCTGATCCACCTCCTTGCTAGTGTGCCTAGAAAAGCAGTGGAAGATTATCCAAGTCCTTGGGCCACTGCCACCCATGTAGGAGACCTGGACGGAGCTCTTGGCTTCACCCTGGCCCAGTCCTGGCTGTTGCGGCCTTTTGGGGAGTGAACCAACAGATGGAAGATCTCCCTCTCTCTGTTCCTCTCTCTGGGTATCACTCTACCTTTCAAATAAATAAAATAAATAAATATATTTTTTAAATACCAGGGCTGGCATCGTGGCCCAGTGGGTTAAGGCACCACCTGTGATGCCAACATGCTATATGAATACCAGTTCAAGTCCTGTTCAATTAGCTTGTTGCTAATGCACCTGGGAAGGCAACGGAAGCTGGCCCAAGTCCTTGGGCCCCTGCCAGTCATGTGAGAGAGCCAGAGAGAGTTCCTGCTCCTGGCTTTGGCATGACCCAGCTCTGGCACTTGAGGCTGTTCTCCCTTTCAAATATGTCAGATAAATAAATTTTTTAAACAAACAGATTGCAGAGCCTGACACTGACTGTACAGATCTAAGATGGAGAGTTGTAAGACAAGATCGTGTAGGGGACCCTGGTGACTGAGACAACCTGGAAAGGTCCAGTAATGGTCCTCCTGCTTCAGGTAGTAATTATCTCAAAGCACAAGTAATTGCTATCTGTCCCTCCTGTGTGTTACTGTTTCCTCCAAGGAAAACTTCTGTGCTAATATTGCTAATGATGAATGCAATAATGATGGTCAAAAAATAGGAGAAAAAATTTAGGTATATCACTCAAATCAGACAACCTAAATAATGAGTGAAAAGTAAGAGAAATGACTGGCAGGGGCCCAAGGACTACACCAAAGCTGTAGTCCTGCAGCACTGTTTTGGCTATTACATGTTCTCTGTCAGGCATCAGAACAGAAGCTGCTGAATGAGAGGAAACCAGGCTCTCGAGTTCAGAAGCCTTGACATCCCCTATCAATCAATAAATCAATCTGGATTCAAAGACAGTGCTTCTATCCCTGCCAGACTAGGGCCACTAAACTCCAGGAGCCAAAACATGGTTATCAGAGCATCTTGACATCTTTCTCTAGACTCCTGCATTGAGTTATGATTCCTGGGTTTGATTTTCTTTTCTGGATTCAAATTCTGGCTTCTCCACAAACAAGGTCTGATCTCCGACAATGTGACAATCCACTTCCTCTCCCTGAACCTCAGTTTGACTGTTAAACAACAACTTGGACTAAGTTATTTCTTTTTTTTTAACTTTTATTTAGTAAATATAAATTTACAAAGTACAGTTTATGGGTTACAATGGCTTCCCCCCCCATAACTTCCCTCCCACTCGCACCCCCCCATCTCCCGCTCCCTCTCCCATTCCATTCACATCAAGATTCATTTTCAATTATCTTTATATACAGAAGGTCAATTCAGTATATATTAAGTAAAGATTTCATCAGTTTGCACCCACACAGAAACACAAAGTGTAAAATACTGTTTCAGTACTAGTTATAGCATTACTTCACATTGGACAACACATTAAGGACAGATCCCACATGAGAAGTAAGTACACAGTGACTCCTGTTGTTGACTTAACAATTTGACACTCTTGTTTATGGCGTCAGAAATCTCCCTAGGCTCTAGTCATGGGTTGCCAAGGCTATGGAAGCCTTTTGAGTTTGCCGATTTCGATCTTATTCCGACAGGGTCATAGTCAAAGTGGAAGTTCTCTCCTCCCTTCAGAGAAAGGTACCTCCTTCTTTGATGTCCAGTTCTTTCCACTGGGATCTCACTCACAGAGATCTTTCATTTAGGTCCTCTTTTTATTTTGCCAGAGTGTCTTGGCTTTCCATGCCTAAAATACTCTCATGGGCTCTTCAGCCAGATCCAAATGCCTGAAGGGCTGATTCTGAGGCCAAAGTGCTGTTTAGGACATCTGCCATTCTATGAGTCTGCTGTGTATCCTGCTTCCCATGTTGGATCGTTCTCTCCCTTTTTGATTCTATCAGTTAGTATTAGCAGACACTAGTCTTGTTTGTGTGATCCCTTTGACTCTTAGACCTATCAGTGTGATCAATTGTGAACTGAAATTGATCACTTGGACTAGTGAGATGGCATTGGTACATGCCACCTTGATGGGATTGTAACTAACTCCACCATTTGGGGCAAGTCCGATTGAGCATGTCCCAAATTGTACATCTCCTCCCTCTCTTATTCCCACTCTTATATTTAACAGGGATCACTTTTAGTTAAAATTTAAACACCTAAGAATAATTGTGTGTTAATTACAGAGTTCAACCAATAGTACTAGAACAAAAAAAAATACTAAAAGGGATAAAGTATTACATTGTACATCAACAGTCAGGACAAGGGCTGATCAAGTCATTGTTTCTCATAGTGTCCATTTCACTTCAACAGGTTTCCCCTTTGGTGCTCAGTTAGCTGTCGCCGATCAGGGAGAACATATGATATTTGTCCCCTTGGGACTGGCTTAATTCACTCAGCATAATGTTTTCCAGATTCCTCCACTTTGTTGCAAATGACCGGATTTCATTGTTTTTTTACTGCTGTATAGTATTCTATAGAGTACATGTCCCATAATTTCTTTATCCAGTCTACTGTTGATGGGCATTTGGATTGGTTCCAGGTCTTAGCTATTGTGAATTGAGCTGCAGTAAACATTAATGTGCAGACAGCTTGTTTGTTTGCCAGTTTAATTTCCTTTGGGTAAATTCCAAGGAGTGGGATGGCTGGGTTGTATGGTAGGGTTATATTCAGGTTTCTGAGGAATCTCCAGACTGACTTCCATAGTGGCTTAACCAGTTTGCATTCCCACCAACAGTGGGTTAGTTGGACTAAGTTATTTCTAAAGCCCCACACGGCTGAAAGAGGCAGTGGTTTCATAAACTACCTGCTCTTGCCATTGAAACAGAATGGTTGTGTTGGACCACGCTTAAGTGTAGCTGAGGACAGGACTTGGTCTTATAAAACATCAGAGTTGGCATAATAAACAAAGCATTTAGCAATAACAAAACACAACCCAAGGTGAACTATTTTCTCAGAGCGAACTAGAAGCATCAGTTGATAATGCTGGACACTAGAGGAGTGACTAACTCACATGGTATGCGTGGAGGGATTCCCGTTGGGCCTCACCCTGACCTTTCTGGAAGGGTTTGCTGGTCTCATCATACAGACAGGGGCTCTTATGGGGTGTAGTCATGCCCCACAAAAGGATGTTTCAGTCAGTGATGGTGACCCCCTGAAGAGTCTATCACCTAGCAACATCCCAGCTCTCTTAGCCTGTGCAAGTGGAGCCTGTGGTATTCTCACAATGACAAAATAGCCCAACACTTAATGCTGTTAAATGGTGTGTGTCTGTAGTGCAATTTGAAGAGTGGCATGCTAAGAAAAATCAGAGACAGGGAAGCAAATATTTTAGATTTTAAATAAAGTGAAATTCTTGCCCTCAGAAACTAATTTTCCCGAAATCATTTCTTTCCCACCATTTTCCTCCCCCATCTGCCCCGGGGGTTGTCTTCCAACAGATGAGTGCATCCTTCGAAGGCGTGAGGTGGGACCTGCAGCTCAGAGTTCCAAGCCGGCCCTGTTTATCAGCTCCTCAGTCATGCTGCTGCTGCTGCTCGGGACGGCTGCGATCGTTTGGAAGAAATCTCGGGGCCGAGTCCGGCCAGCAGTAAAGGCTGGCTACGAGAAGCTGGCGGATCCTACTCGGTCTTACTCGGCCCGTAAGAGCAGCTATCTAGAGAGCACTAGCTTTGAAGAGGATCAGGTAATCGAGTACAGGGACCGGGACTATGATGAGGATGATGATGACGACATCGTCTACATGGGCCAAGATGGCACCGTCTACCGGAAGTTTAAGTATGGGCTGCTGGAAGAAGAGGAGGACGATCAGCTGGAATACGATGATGAGAGTTACTCCTTCCGGTAAACAGAAGACACGGCCATGCCCCGCCCCCGCTCCCGCCCATCCCCCTTCCAGGAATGCCTATGGACACCCTTGATTCTGCTTTGACCCGCACACCAGGCTGATGTGCAAGTGTCTGTATTTGTCTTTTGAATCTTGAGTCCAACTGGAATATCTAAGAATACTTAGAAATGATTTTGTTCTTTTGTGTGGCTAAATTCAATGAACAGTCTCTATTCCACCATAATTTCAGAGCGAGGATAAAACGCAAAGGCATTTTCCCAGAACAGAACAGCATGTCAAAGCACAAGATGCAGGAAGTGAAAACGAGTGACATTTGTCCAAACTCCTTGATGAGATTAAAACAAAGCAGTGGACTTTAGGAATTCTGTTTCCAAACTGCATTGTGGCGATTTCTTTATCTGCTGAGATTTCTTTATCTCATTTGGGAGGATGAGAAAGTAGAGAGTGCTGGTTTGGTGGGGAGTTTCTCTCTCTTTTTACAACTGTCTTCAGGCAAGATTTGTTTTGTAAGGGTGCAGATGAGAAGGTTCTTATCAACTGCTCCACAACCCCCCTGGTGAGCAGCAGAGTATCTCAGACAGGGCGCGGTGGACCTATTTACAGACGTGGAAGGAAAGGAGAAGGAGCAACCTACGGAGGGAACCATGAGGGGACTCCAGGCTCTCGCCCCTCTTCCGTAAGGAGGTCACTATGATCCTAAAGGCAGCATGAGTTGGGTCAGAAGACAGGTAGCAGCAAGCCCAAAGAGAAAGTAATCACTAAGTTCCCAACAATTACATCCTCAAGATTTTCAAAGAGCTTTGCTGGTAAGAAATACTAAAATTTTTTTAAATGGCACTGTTAACCTAACAAAATTAGGTAAAATGACCAAAACAAAACAAAAAATCTTTATCCACTCTAGTAAAACAGGAAAACAAAAACAGGACATGGCAACCACATCAGAGGAGTGCCTATCAACAACCCTTCCTGGAACTGGGGCTCCCCACGGAAAAGCTGGACCAGCGTCTTGCACAGCACAGTCCTGGTGTCCCGCTCCCAAGCTGCCATCCAGCTGCCCACCAGCTCTCCAGTGTTCGTCAGAACATGATTTTGTGTCTACACTGTCTGGGCTTCCTTCTCCACTCTCCTGTCAAGCGTGCTCTTAGATTCATGCCGTCTGCATCAGTTTTTCCACCGATACTAATAGAGAGGGGTCCTTACTATGTAAAATTATGTGAGGGACCTGCACTGTGGCACAGCAGGTTAAGCCAGCACCTATGAGACAGGCTTCCTGTATCAGAGCAGTGGTTCAACTCCCAGCTGCTCTGCTTCCAATCTACCTTCATGTTAATGCACCTGGGAAATTAGTGGGTGGTGGCCCTGCCATCCATATGGGAGACTTGGATGAAGCTCTTGGCTCCTGGCTCCTGGCTTCAGCCTGGCTCAGCCATGGCTGTTGTGGCCAATTGGGAAGTGAAAGTTATACAAAAGATCTCTCTCTCTCTCTCTCTCTGTCTCTTCCCCGCCCCCAGCTTTCTGCCTTTCAGATAAATAAATGAATGAATAAATAAATCTTTTAACAGTATGTATGTGAGCAGTGTCTTACAGGTTTCCTTTATCAAAGAAGTTATAGGCTGTATTAGGAATAGAACATCAGAAAGTGAAAGTAACATTTTCAGATGATGGTAATAATAAAAAATTTCATTACAAACATACTGTGCATGCTATTAGTTACCACGCTAAATAATTTCTCTGAAAATAGTCACTCAACTTATCCATTTAATCCCATAATGTTATGAGATTAGTATAATTATGATTCCATTTTTATAGAAAACCTGAGGCCTAGAAAAGGTTAAGAGCTATGTCTCAGGTTCAGAGAAAGTTAAATCAAGATTCAACAGAAAAAGAATTGACTTAAAGAGTATGCTTCTACAGTTCACTGACATAGGGTGGGAAAATAATTATTCTACATTTAGTAAAGCCATGGCTATTATTTTATAAGGTATCAATATCCTTCTGGCAACGACATTATTCATTATTCATAAATTCATGTCTTTTTGTTTGTGACATAATGTGTCATTGACGAAGGAAATCTCCACTAAGAAACCTTCAGTTTACTGAGGATCTGTGTTTCTTTGGAGCAAAGGTCTTAAAATTAAGTTTGGCAAACATTCTCTGGAAAATCTAGATAGTAAATCCCTTGGGCTTTGTAACCCAAAAGTTCTGTTTCGCATCCATTCCATTGTAGCATGGGTGCAGCCAGAAATAAAGAATGGGTGGGCTGTCTCACAAAACTTCACTTATGAACAATGAAATTTGAATTTTAGATTATTTTCACCAATCATAAAATTGTGTTCTTCTTTTGATATATTTCATCCATTTAAAAACACAAAAACTGTTCTTTACTCATGGCAGTACAAAATCAGATGATAGGCCAGAATTGGCCAATACTGTAGCTTACTGGCTTTGTCCTAAAAGAAAATTCTTCAAAGATCACGTGTATCACACACACATGTGATGTGACTCAAAATTTTTGATCATTTAAAATTAATTCTTCAGGGCGGGCGCCATGGCTCACTTGGCTAATCCTCCAGCTGCGGCGCCGGCACCCTGAGTTCTAGTCATGGTTGGGGTGCTGGATTCTGTCCCTGTTGCTCCTCTTCCAGTCCAGCTCTCTGCTGTGGCCCAGGAGGGCAGTGGAGGATGGCCCAGGTGCTTGGGCCCTGCATCTGCATGGGAGACCAGGAGGAAGCACCTGGCTCCTGGCTTCGAATCGGCGCAGCACTGGCCATTTTGGCCATTTGGGGGGTGAACCAACAGAAGGAAGACCTTTCTTTCTGTCTATAACTCTACCTGTCAAATAATAAAAAATTTTTAAAAATTAAAAAAAATTAACTCTTCAAAGTCTACTCAAACAGTTCCCTTTTCAGTTCTTAGAAATTTATCAAAATATCTGCAAGATGGCCATGATATCCATGGAAGAAGTTCTCATTCTTGCTGTGTGATTACACAGCCCAAAAAATCATGTAATTTCTTTTATACCGAGTTGTTCTTCTTCCTTGTTAATGTGAAAGTTCTCATAGACTGAGTTTGACATTTCTTTCCATAGCTTGGAAATTGTTTTCTAAGAAAAATCTGTGTTGATGATACACAATTAAAGGTTGAATGAAGTTGAGATGAAAACCAAGGGAAACTGTCGTTACTCTGTATGACCTACAATGAGAAGAAGGCTCCCGTTTGCACACTGATGAGAGCTGACACCTTTCCTTTGTTACTCTTAGTCATGCCACGTAAGTCTCACATTCCCTTTGAATGCTGTTGATAATAGCTGTCTTAATAGACAAATAGGTAGTTGGAAAACAAAGTCACCTTTTGGTTTTCTGTTTGCAAATGACTTGGAAAGATTAAGAGAATCCTTGTAGGCTAGAAATATGCCAAGAGATTGGATAAGAGCAAGGAAGGTCCCAGTTCATATAAGGCAATTTTAAAATTGGAAATAAAATTAAATAAAAAACAGAAAATGTATAGAGGCTTGTTTTTTATTTCTGATAATATTATTTCTGAAGATTACATATAAATATATAAAACATTGTTTTACCAAGTAAGATACAAAACTATAAAAGAGTGAAGCTTTCTCCTTTTTGTCTTTCTATATATATATCTAATGAATCTTACCAATTAATTTAATTGTCTCTCCTAAAACTCAGTGCAATCGGTCTCAGCTCCATCATTCCTGCCTCCACCAGGGCCTCAGTTGCTGTCACTGGGAACCATTCATATTCCCTCCTGAGCGATTGTTGGCCGTCAGCCTCTCTTTTTTCCCAATTTAATCCTCTACTCTGCTATGAAACATCATTTTCAAAGTTCATTACAGCATCCCATTCTGTGTTCGCCACCACCTACACTGATTTGGCATTGAAAAGCCATTTCCTGGCTGCTCCCTATTTTCCAGCCTCCCCATTTACATTCCAATAAGTTGCTTCTAGGTTGTCCAGGATAACATCCTGTAATCTAATGTCATAGGGCACATACTGTTCTCTTGCCTTTGAATCTTCTTCCCCATATCGTGACTTTCTAAAAAAATTCCTGACTGTCCTTTAAAGATAACGTTTCCTCCTTGGAGGTCTTATCTCTCCTTCTTGGAGAAAATAATTACTTTGGTAGAGTTGAATTTGAAGAAGATTCTATTGTATGAAACAATCACACAATGGTAGAGGGCATATGTTGAGTGTGCATCACATTCCTATTTGACCCTGAATGTAAATGGCAAAGAGAAAAGAAGGTAGTGTCAGTTAGGTTTGAGATAATTGCAAATTTGGCATGTAGTGGAGGTTTAATGGGAAGAAGCTGTGTGCTTGGCCTTTATTTGAAAAAAGGATGGAGAGGGTATTCTCTGAGGGACATATTAGAATTGGTAAGTACCCTGACTGGTACCCTGATTTTTATGATAATGATTCACTGCACATTTATTCAGAGTCTACCAGGCTCCAGGCAGTTATGTTTACTGAAAAACAACAGCAAGTAGGATCCATCAAGTCTCAGCATTCAAGGATCTTACATTCTAGTTGGAGAGAAAAAAGTAACAGCTACCATTCTGATGTCTTCTGTGGACCAAGCATACTCTTAGAGACACCCATATGCTCTCATTTAATTCTGACAGCATAAATGCTATGAGGTAGGTAATATGATCCCTTTTTACAAAGGAGAAAGGCAGGCTCTGGGCTAACACTGAAAGTGCTCTAAGTCCAAGTGTTGGCAAGTAGTCAAACTGAGATTTGAATCTAGGATTCTATAGTCCGTGGTCTTCCTGCTCTACAACTTGGATGTTAAGCAAAAAAGGAACCTTGCCTTTGTCAACAATTCCTAAACCCTGACTTGGGATTATTTTAGCTGGGTGGAATTTGCCATAATAATGAGTCACCAGGAGACGATGCCAACAAAATGCCGACGAGGGTTTATACTTCAGGTGCACAATCTCATCTAGAGATATAAAGTTGAGGGTCAATGAAGAAGGAAATTTCAGGTACCTGTGAACATTAAGTATATATAACTGTATTTCAGTCAGTTAAAAGGTATTCATGAGAGATACTACCATACAAGAGGAAAAAAAAAAAACTAAAGAATTACAAATTTCCAAATGTGGATTCAGATGCAGCATCCCATGGAGGGAGATAAAAGACTGCTATGTAGAGAGAGGGAAGATAAAAGTAGGTGTTTCACACATACTTTTGGCTTTGGAATAGACCTTAAAGATCTGTTTAGAGTTAGCAAGGTCTACCTTAGAATTCGTTAAACAAGAAACTGCCCTGTTTACTGACCACCCAAAGAACCAACTTTAGATGCCCTTGAAATACACAGTAGTGTTCACCTTGCATCGACATGTGAGAAGTGTCAATAGACTGTGTTTCAGAAAAGTATAAGAATTCTAGCAATGCATGCTTGGCACAGACTTTGGATCCAACTTGATCACCACTTGATCAATTAGGTAAGATAACTGAGCAAGGCACTGTAAGAATAACTTAACAAGATCAAAATTTGAGGAGTAATTGCTATACTGGATTGTTTGGGGAATAATAACAAGAAAACAAAAGTCAATTCTTGTTCAGCATATAGGTAATTTTTAAAAAATATTTTCGAATTGTGGTTGGTTGAACCCATGGATACAAGAACGCTGACTATACTTGGCAGCAGAATGAGCCAATGTCTTCATCTTCCATTCCACACATTTAGCTGCTTAAAGCAACATTATCTCACAGTTGGATAGATCAGAAAACCAGGTGGGCTCCCCTAAGTTCTCTGGTTAAGGCCTTCCAAGGGCAAAACCAAGGTATTTTGGGAAGCTCTGGAGAAGAATTACTCCCCAAGTAATCCAGGTGTTTGGCAGATGCATTTTCTTGTGCTTATGGGACTAAAGTTTCTTTTTCTGGCTGTCAACCAGATGTCATTTTTAGCTCAGAGAGACAGCTCTCTGGTCCCATACATGGCCCCTTGCTCTTCAAAGCCGGAAACTGAGCATGAAATCCTTTTTGATTTCCAGTTGGAATAGTTTTTTAGTATTTAAATACAAAAAGTGAGTATTTTTTTTTCACTCAGATCTAACAGCAAAATGGGCAGAGGAAATGGGCTCTTCACAGTCCCCATCATCCCTATCTAGTGACAGAAGCGGCCACTGGCCTCCCTCTCCCCCAATGTGCATGGGATTCACAGGGGCCACGTGGCAGCTGTAATTTGGTCAATGTCATGTCATGTCATGTACATGTCTCTCCCATTTAAAAACAAAAGTCATCAATGGACAAGGGTCCTTCCATCCCATTCCTGACCACACGGTGACAGAGGAGAGCTTCCAGTTAGGAACAATTTAGTGAAACGATGTGGTGGACAGCACTGGAATAACCATCTGTGTAACAGCACTCCAGTATCAGAGGGCAGACAGAAGGAACAGGTAAGGACAGCACTGAGTGATCCATTGCAAGTACGGAGTCTCCAGGAGAAACTGAGAGCTGAATTCTCTCCACTAGGTTTAGACAGAGCAATCTGTCAAAGTTAACCAAAAAAAGTCAGCAGTTCATACACTTGCATTTCAAGCTTCTCCCACCCAGACTGCTCAAGTACAGCAGTAACACTCCAGATCTTTCCAGAAAGTGAAGGGAGAGCCCCTGGCATTCCTCCTCACAGCCCTGCATTAGGCCCTGGAAGTTTCTACCACTGCAGCTGCTGCAGTTGCTCCAT